GGGGGGAGGGGAGGGGTGCAGTTCTGCACAGACCACATCACCAATCACATCTAAAAAAAATAAAAAATAAAAGAGCTGCTTGGTTTTGAGTGGATTAGAAATAAAACAAAAATAAAATAAATGGTGAAAATGTCAGAAATCGGTTTGTTGTTTTTGTGTTTAGGGTGCAGGAGCTTTACGGCTACAAATATAAAGATATGTTCAACAAGAAGAAGGGGATAAAATGGAGGTGGGTCTGTGTTTCATCAGCCAATGCCCTTTTAATATTGCACTGCTCATCTGAGTGTCCAGTAGTGCAACAGAAAAAGGGCAGTGGACGACAACATGGACCCCCACCAGCCTCTAACGCTCACCTTTAACCCCCTAAAATGATTTCATCATTTCAGATTGAACCTGTCGAAGTCTGTTTGGGTGGGGGGCAGAATGAACTGCATTAAAGTAAAAAAATGAAATAAAATAAACAAAACACAATGCATCTGTTGCAGACTAAACTTCCAGGATGTGACACTTCCCACCAGTGGAGCTAAATGAACTTCCCAAATTAAACAGCACTGCTTTCTCCCCACCCTCCCCCCACACTCCTCACCCTCTCTCACCCTGGGAGAATGGGGAATTTCCCAGCATGCGGGCCCATACGATTCTCTCCAGTGTATGACATGCATTCTAATTCTGGGGGGTGGAGGGAAGAGAGAGGGGCTGGGGGGTTCAAAGTGATATGTGTAATAATGCCAATTAGTTTTCTATCAGCTCAGAATTAAAACTCTTCACTTCTGTCTCCGAAAAACAAGCGAAAATATCAATGAAATAAATGTAAATTTCCAACTCAACAAAACTTAAGTTGGTCTGGCTTCACCACAAAGACACCACTCGTCGAGTAAGCTCTAAAAAGCAAAGCAAACACTCCTAAGTTTGCTGTCGGAATGCAGTTACACAACCTATAGATCCTTTACCACAGCGGGGGGAAGAGGCGCAGGAAGCCTCCAGAACAACATGTCCACCAGCTCCGATTCGCCCAACAACTCCCGACACGTCCAACCAACACGTCCAGGTGTTCCTTTTCTTTTTTTCTTTTCTTTTTTTTACCTGCAGCTTTTACACACGCACGTGTGCGCGCGCGAGCGGCCTCCTTCCAAGATCTGCTCCCAAAACCTCCACATTTTTTTCTTTTTTTTTACTGGCGACTTGTTAGATTGCACAACAGCACATGTACACGCCACTCACTCACCCCCCCCACCCTCACACTCACCACCCCGTTACAATAAGAG